ACAGTGGTGAAGCACTGGAATGGGTTACCTAGGGAGGTGGTGGTTTTTACGGTCAGGCTTGACAAAGCCCTGGCTGGGATGATTTAGTTGGGAATTGGTCCTGCTTTGAGCAGGGGATTGGACTAGATGACCTCCTGAGGTCCCTTCCAACCCTGATATTCTATGATTCTATGATAACTAAGGTCCAGGCAGTCTCCAGGTGGGACTCATTTCTGGAGCAGAACCCTACTTTCCATCATTTTATATTTGTTTGCCTCTCTTGGCTTGTCCAATAAAAATACACCAATCACTTTCACTCTTGTTTCTAGTCAGTTTCGCTTTCAGATTTTACTGAAAGTAGCACAATGTTGCTGCAATTGTGTATCGAACAAGGCGGGAGAACGTTTTTTCTTTTCCATTGAACTTGAGGGTTTTCATCTACAGCGCATTTCAGGTAGGACGATGTTTACAAAACCTAAAATGTGTGCCAAAACCGGTGACCTGACAGTTTTGCCTTTTAACCAGAAATTATTTGTAAGAATTGAAATAAAACTGTTTTGGAATTAAATGTCTACGGTTCTGCAGCACGCTGCATATGTGGGTGACTAACCATACCGGGTCTGAAGCGCTGCTGAGTGATACACGGGACAGGTTAAGTGTATAACGGGAGGGAGCTGTGTCTCCCACGTAGTGTAGCTTCTTCTCTGTGCACTGAGCACATTGTGCAGCTTCCTTCTTCCTGCATTGTATGTGGCGCTGCTTCCTTATCAGAGGGGCGAGGTGGGGGGAGGCGCGCCCGGCAAACAGGTTCTTCTATAGCACATCGAAAGCTAGGACCGGCTGAGCATGAATGAAACAAGAGCGAGCCACGCCTGCAGGTCAGCTAACCAGGAAGTATCCAAGCAGCAAGGAAACATCAACCAATGTTGCGCTGCGCTGAGGCAGTGCACTGAGAGAGCCCTCGCTGATCTCCAGGCGCGATTTTCTGGTGAGCTCTTGTGCTAGGGTCTGTCTGCGCCTAAGCTGGAACAATGGGAGGGGAAGGGGAGTCTCGGGCTCTGGGGGGCTAGCTGGGGAGGAGTACTGCTCGTTAGGGAGATGCACCAGCTGCCGCCGCCTGGGAGTAATTATCTCCACCTATGCATGAAAGGGAGGGTTTGAGTGGCACGGCCAAGGGAGGCAGAGTTACAGCTTTGTGCTAATTTTCCAAACAGAAGGGGGGGGTGTCTTTATTTTTGGTTGCCCTCCTTCTCCCCCTCACTTATTAACTGTCCCACTGCTTCACTCTATGAAGCCTTTTGAAGATACACAGTTTGCGTGGAAGAGGTTGTACACAAGATGATTCCAGTCCGGCACACTCTTGCATGAGTAGCTCCACTGGCTTCAGTGAGACTAGACTATTCGCACGGGTACGTTTTGTGGTAAGGGAATTAATCTGTAGGGGTGAAACAGAACGTCTTCCATCAGCTGACATCCTCATTTCCCCTAGGCATGAGGGGTCGAGGGTGAATCATCTTTCCTGCTTCATTTTCCTAAGGTGACCGACAGTTGAATGTCTGGATGTCTGGTAGGGCTTGAAATTTGATGGACGCTAGTGGCCTGATCAGAAATAATTTGTCTCATGTGGGTTGAAAGAGTTGTTAGAAATCTACTAGCTGCAGGTCCCAAGCAGGAAGTTTCTGATCAGATAACCACAGTATGAGGTGAATTTATAGGCACCATTTATGCAACAGATTGTTTTACAAGAAACCTGTATTTGTCTTGAAAAGGGAAGATAGTAATTGGGTGTGTTTATATAATTTAAGGCACAGTGTCTTGGACAAGCAACACTAAAGCAATGATGAAACTCAGAGAGAAACTCTGCTCTGGATGGTGTTGAATGTGAAACAGATCTGCAGTGTGTAACCAAACTTTCCAGGATGTAGATTTTCATAAAGACCAGGAAGTTCCCCCACCTGTTAAAAAAGAGAAACTTAGATTCTCTCTTTCCTCTGTTGTCAAAATGCTCTTGGAGCAATCATTATGCAGCCAATAATGACTATTCATATTTAAATACCATGTTGTTGATTCATCATGTTGACACTTTGGGAGACTGGGAAGTTGTCACCAATGCCACATTTCAGCTTTACTGGTCATCTCAGACCAGTACAAGCTATGTTGCTATTCCTGAAGGTTTTGTTTTTTAGGGTTTTTGTTTTGAAATCCCTTATGAGTTAAAACAAAGCATCTTGGGTACCCATATGCCTCATTTGTTTATTAAAAGAGTTTATAAACTAATGAAAATTGCAGTTTAGGGCTAGATTTTGGACTTTGTGTTTGCTTCAGGGAGCGAAAAACTACTTACATCTCTGCATGGTCTATCAGGACCTTGGGCCCAAGCATTCAGAGGTAAGTTGGTGCTGCATACCTGCTTACTCTATTTCTCCCAGAGTTGGTGGGAGTGGGCAGAACCTTTTCTCCAATCCCTCAATGCACTGGGCAGCACAGCTTAGGCCAGTGTTGAGGGCTATTGCAATTTGCTGCTGGTATAGGCCAGCAGCAAATTACTATACCTTCATGGAGCAAGGAGGAAGCAGGGTGGGGAATTATGCCTCAGATGCCTGTAATGCACAGTGCCTTTGGAGATGATGCAGTGTATGCACAACCCTAGTTCAGTGCTTTGCCTAAAGGCACAATCTAGCCCTTAGAATGCAAATACCATTTCAAAGTTAATTCTACCGTGCCTTCCCCAACGCTGTAATAGAATGAGGAGATGGTAAGGTATTCATTTATCCAAGGCCGGATTTAGGGGCAGGTGATCCAGGCAACTGCCTGGGGTGCAGGGCTTGGGACGGCGCCGGGCTCGCAGATTTACAGATCCTAGCATGCAAATTTATCATCTTATATGACAGGGTTAAATCATACATGCAAATCGTGCATCAAAGTCATGAAAAAGGCAACAAATGCAATAAAAAATAAGGTATTCAAAAGTTTAACAAATGGAGTGGGGGGCACCAAAGACGTTCCTTGCCTGGGGTGCCATTTGGTCTAGGGTCAGCCTTGCATTTATCTACCATGCTTGAGGTGCCCTTTTCCTGCTATTCAGTTGCTTCTTTTAGGTTAGAAAATTAGGCCCTTAGTGTTACTGAAAACAAAAGACTAAGAAACAAGTTAAAATGTTTTTTTTTCTGATTTGTATATTTACACTTGCTTTAATAAAAAAAGAAAATGATTCATCCGTAAGTTACTTAGTATACTTGCCATTGCATCTGTAACATACTACTGTCCCTTCCAAAAAATTAAACTAATATTAATACTTAATGATCACATGCTGTCATAGAATGAATATAACTGTTGTTGCTATGGCTACATCTTTGTCACTCTTGTCACAGATTCTCATTTTCTTTCTTTTTTTTTAAAACCACTTCAGACATCTGGTGAACTTGTGGGTGGTTGGGTGGATGGATGGATGTGATGATAAACAATTGAAATTTTTTTCACTGAGAACTTAGGCTGAGATCTGCTCATAAAAACAGAGTTTTGGGGCTTTATGTGGGTGGTGGATAATAAGGTGAAATCAGTCCCTACAAACTAGCATCAGGGTGCTGTGCCACACTTTCCATGCAGCTATTATTTCAGCCTTCTGCACCAGTTATATGAGGCACAAAGTTCTGCTGGAGCCCTGTTGTGGCCTTCGTACCAACCTATGTGGGACTATCATGGAACTATATATAGGAGGTCTGTTGGCATTCCTGTGTACCTGCTTCAGCAGCAGAACCCTCTGTACAGGGTATAAATTATGTGGCCAGGGGGCCTTGAGTAGGCTGTCCATACCATGCGTGAATTTCACTCATGAAGAAAAGAAAAGTTAAACCGGGGTCAGGATGAGAAGCTAAGGGAGCAAGTGCACAGCAACAAGAAAAACATATGGCAAGCTAATGGTGAATTCATGGTGAGAGGTGTAATTATTCCAGGGGTGATTAGATTTCTCCATCCCAAAGACTTAAAAACCAAACATCTAAAATAGAGGTATTTAGGTTAGCTTTAGAAAGGTCAGCTTTGATACAACCATTACTGTGTTAAATACTGTCTGCTGTTTGGAAGAGCAAAAGCACAGTTCCTATTTGTGCTAAAACAGGAGAATAAAGATTAAAGGAATAAAGCTCACAAATCAATGCCTCTGGCTGCCATGTGACATCTCCTAATAATCCTATCCTAAGACAAGTCCTAGTTATTAGCAATAGTGAGTACTTCAGAATAAGATTTTTCTTTAGCTTACATTCTTTTGCTTGTCTAGGGAGGTCAGTCTCAGTCTTATTACTTATCAGGCTCGGCCAAACATGCCAAGTAGCAGCACGACTAGTACACCATGCAGTACCTGTCATAAAGGTTATTGTGCACCTTTTCCTATTAGAGAAGAGGATCTAAAACAACTATGTTGGGCCAGGAATTGGTAAGTTCCCTATGGCATCAGAAATTTGAGTGCGTCTGATGTTTTAAAATACATCTTTTCCTGGTAGGGAATTGCCCACTTGCAGTCTCTCAGGACCAGAACCAAAATCCAATAAAATCAATGGGATCTTTCCATTGACTTCAGTGGCCTTTAGATCACGTCCTCAATGAAGTCTTTTATCTGTACTGACGTCTTAAAGAAAAACTTATTCAGGCTTGGTACCAACAAGTAAGAAAGGCAGCCTTTAGAAATTTGTAATTTTTTCAGTGGTTTAAGCTGTTTCTCCAAAATTTTGATGTCTATAAAGTTGCAGCAGTTTATTTACATTATTGAAAGAGGGAATCACTGATTAAAACTATAATTAAAACGCTAACTTTTCAACATTTTTTTTTTTTTGTAAAACAGTTGAGTGAAGAGTTGGCCATTCAAAGTGACTGAAAATATCAAAGAGGAGACCTAAAAGGAGATCTGCTTAGTGTGACATCTCTTCAGAACCGTTCCACAAAGTGCAATTACACGACATTCTGAGCATCTTTGATAAAAAGCCTGACCCTAGGACAATCCTTTTCCAAACATAGCATTTTGTCACCTAAAATCCAGATCCTGGCAGTGAAGTAAATGGCTCAACTTCCCCCTGGAGTTCGCTTCATCGTTTTATTTACAAGAGATCAGTGGTAAGTTTTCAAGTATATCTTAACAGACATCCATCTCGGACAATATCAGATTTTATCTGAGAAAGATTATTCCTTTGACTCAGTTTCTCTAACTTTTTATTTCTTGGAATATAAAACAAGTCTTTGTTAAAGAAAATGTTGATTTAATTGCAAAATGAAGAGCAAGGCTAAAGATTTTTTAATCAGGAGATTTGACGCTAGTACAGAGTGATATAGGGGTTTGGAATACATTTCCATCACCATTAGTTTTGTACGCTAGAGAATAAGTACTTCTCCTGTTCTACTTCACATATTATGTGCTTGGGGAGGTGAATCACAGCCTTTTATTTTGAGTTGCTTGGTTTATGTCTGTGAAAAAATCAATCTGTTTATCCTGGACCCAGATCTTCTTTCTTCTCCTGGATGATATCATAATTTTATTTGTAACAGTGCCTCGCACAATAGGATCTTGATCTTGGTTGATGCTACTGTAAAATAAATAATTAATAATGATATTTGTCCTTGGAAACTAAAATCTGGAAGTCTTTTGACAACTTTTTAATTCTGTTTTGGTCTTGTCAGCTCTTTTTGTGCTTTCAAGGGAGAGAGAGAGAGAGAATTGGTTACTCTTATCTTGAAATCACTTGTTTACCGTAACAAAGGAAAGAAATCAGTACTTCCCAGTTGAATGATTTTTATCATACACGTCATCTAACAGAGCTTCAAGGCAAGAGTCACTGCAGTTTATTAAATGAAATCTTCAGTAATGGGCATAACAACTGAACACCCCAATGTAAGTTGTTATACCAAAACCCAGATGGTGTGTTTGGGTAGCCTTACTTGCCGAGTCTTCTGTGCTGGTTCTACAAGCTAAGCAGGGTTAAACATAGTCAATTCTTGGATAAGAGACCTCCAAGAAAATCCAGGAAATTCCCTGTACTGGAGGATGTGTTAGCAATTCAGTAACTTGTATGTTTGCCTCTCAACCAGTACTTGACCGATGCCTTTGAATAGCATTAGGGTCTGCTGTATTTCTGAAGGTACCATCCATTAGACAACACCCAAAACTGAAGTCCTGCCCCCTTGTGGTCACTAAGGATCCTGTGGTGGTTTTTGCAGCAGGAGGCATGTTGGCCATGTGTCTTGGCGCAATACCAAGTATACGGTATTTACAGTGTGCTGTGGCTACTTACACATCTATTGGAGATTTAAATGGATACATTCTACTTGTTCATGCTTTTGCTTATACATGCAGACAGACAACTGGATGTAATGTAGGATGCTGAGCTGAAGACATACAGCATGTAGCATTGTATAATCTATCAGACCGTATACTTAACAGGTATTGGTAAGCAAAGTAGGAAAAGAATCTACTATAGTATAACAAATTGTTCAAACTACTCTTCTCCATTTAAAAAACTGCACTAATGGTTATAAAGTAGATGTGAATGAAACCATCAGTGTAAAGGCAAGCATTCTCAAACTTTTTTATAGGGTGGATCACATTTCATTGTCATAGGAACACACCTCTCACATTTCCAATCAGATCACATCCATTTGGCAACTACAATTGCTCATGTGGAAAAGCAATAATAGGAAAATAAGTAATATTATTTTTCTTTTGTTTCTCTTTTAATATGCATTAGCAACTGGAAAGAGAGAAGAGCCAGCACCATGTGCTCTGTGAACAACCAGTAGTCCCCACACCCTCGTTTGTGAACCTCTGGGGGTAAAGGTGTCACAGGTGCAAAAATGATGTTTTGCTCTGATGCTGGCTTAAATATAGAAACTATTGAAATTGCTCAAATTTATACCCCAATATAAAGTAGTTCGAGTTAATTTAGAGTCTCTTTAGCTTCCAGGGTTTATGATAACATGAAGTGAAAAAAAATGTGAAGAATACTTTGAAATATTTTGTTTTATGTAAGATGTTGGTAAATATAAATCTAGTGATTGAAATCACTTAGAAATATTAAAATAAATACTGATTTTTCTTTTGTTACAGGTGCAGGGCCTTCATTTTTGTTCTTACCTTTTTGTTATATGCTAGTTTCCACTTGTCAAGGAAACCTATTAGTATAGTTAAGGTAAGCAACAATGAATCATTTTGTTTAAATAGCCTCCTAATTTTCTCAAACAGGAAAGTATACTTTTGTGTGTGTGTGTTGTTTTTTTTCAAAGACAGTGTAAAGTTTAACCCACAATGCTGTAAAAACAAGTGCCGATAATTACAGTTGTCGTACCATAGTTCCATGCTATACATTTTTGGTGAGACCACACCTAGAATACTGCACATACTTCTGGTTTTAGGCCCTCACATGAGTTAAGCTAAGTACATGTGTAAGTGTTTGCAGGATCAAGGCTTGAAATCTTAGAAGAGTTGCTCAGAGCTGAGGAATCTATCGAGACTGAGTAAATTGTGTGCGTTAGATCTTCAAGACGATTTTGGTTCTTGTGCAGTACTATGCATGAGCTAGTGCAGTGATATCAGAGAAATATAATGTATTTCATTTTCACCTTTAGACTTTGGCAGTACATTAACCTGAAGTTATTTCTCATGTATATTTTTAACTTTATTGCTCAACAGCCTATTCATATTAATAAAAAAAAAAAAAAGTCTTGCTCCATACAGGAAATAAATAGCATTGGACCTGTTATCAGAATGCAAATTGCTTAGATGTGGTTTCATTGTTTACATTTCAAATTGTCAAGTGTTTCATTAACCTTTTGATTTTATTCCCACTAAGAACCTGTTTACACAAGGGATAAAACTGACGTTAGCACCGTTTCTCTGATCTGTATAGACTGGGATCGTCCTATTGAAAACCATGTTATCTTACTTTAGATTATATTTGGTTGGGGTTATAAAATAGCATTTTTTAAAGAGAGCATAGTTCTCAAGAGTGAAATTTCCATCCATACTGCTCTGGAAATCAGTGTTAGATCTACCTATTGGTAGCTTGGCCTTAAGCAGTGTAAGCAGTTACTTGATCTAATTAAAAACTAATAAACTAAGGGTACGTCTACACTACCCGCCGGATTGGCGAGTAGTGATTGATCTATCGCGTCTAGTGTAGACACGATAAATCGATCCCCGATCGCTCTGCCGTCGACTCCGGAACTCCACCACGGCGAGAGGCGGAAACGGAGTCGACGGGGGAGCGGCAGCCGTTGATCCCGCGCCGTGAGGATGCGAAGTAAGTGATTCCAAGTTGATCTAAGATACGTTGACTTCAGCTACGCTATTCTCGTAGCTGAAGTTGCATATCTTAGATCGATCTCCCCCTAGTGTAGACCAGGCCTTAATCTCTTCCTCCCTGTATCTCCTTTGAAGTTTCCTGCAGCTTGATGTGTCAAACTATATTTTCTATTTTTATTTTTTGACTTTGTGGTGGGCTTTTTTTCCATTTTTTTTTTAATACTGATCCTTCCAAAAGCTGATTGATTCCCCCCCAAGTCTGTTTCTTCAGTGTCCGTATACAGGGCCACCCAGAGGGGGAGACAAGTGGGGCAATTTGCCCCGGGCCCCACAGGGGCCCCCACAAGAGTTTTCAGGGGCCCCCACGAGAGTTTTCGGCGGGTCTTTGGCAGCAGGTCCTTTAGTGCTGCCGAACACACCCGGAGCGAGTGAAGGACCCACTGCCGAAGACCCGGAGCTTCTTCCGCTCCGGGTCTTCGGCGGCAATTCGGCGGCGCATCCTTCACTCACTCCAGGACCCGCCGCTGAAGTGCCCCGAAGACCCGGAGCGGAAGGACCCCCGCCGCCGAAGACCCCAGGGCCCCTGAATCCTCTGGGCAGCCCTGTCCATATATTTTACTGTTCTGATTCCTTTTGGGCGTAATGATACGCTAACTCATGGGCTCCAATCCTGCAATGTGATCTGTATACGCAGATCCCTACATGTATGTGGAGTCCTGGTTATGTCAGTGGGACTCTTCACAGACCTAGAAGTCTGCTCATGCACATCAGCTTGCAGCATTGGTATGTACAGTAGTTGTGTGCTTGGGAATGAGGAGACATGTTTAAGATATAAACTGAAAAATAAAATGTTCTTTGTTGAAGGAAAGGGCATTGCAATGTTCTCAGATGACATAAGGACACATTCTGCCCTTATTCACAGCAATGTAAATCCAGAGTAACTTCACTGAGATTAATGGAGCTATTCCAGATTTACACCTGCATGGATGAGAACATCACTTACATATGAGCATTTTTAGAAAAATATACCATTACCCCTTTATATATTGTGAACATTGTGAACAGATCATTTTTTTCCTTGCCGGGGGGGGGGGGGGGAGAGGTATTCTGCTTCTGTTTGATATGTATGGTATTACATACCACTGAAGTATGCTTGTTGACTTCTATGGGAGCTGCTGGGCAAACTGGGCCATTTCCCCAGCATGTTGAGTAGTGTGCTGTTGGACATGCCATCGTTCCAATGAGATGTAAAATCCAAGTCCTGGCCTATTTCTGATCACCAAAGTTCCCATAGCACTTGTAGTGAGAACAGGGGTGTCGAACTCTGCTGTGTCAATCCTGGTAATTACATTTCACCTACCTAAATTTCCCTTGCAGTTTCAGTGGGGTGTGTTTTTTCTCTTCTATCCCTGTCCGAAACTTGGCTGTGCTGCATTATATGGGATGAAATACAATACATTGCCGCTGGTGCTGCAAAGATTGACGCACATGCTTAATGTTGTGCGCGCTGACTTTGCTAGGACTATTCACAGTACTTAAAGTTAAGCAGGTACATAATTGTTTGCAAGACTGGGACTGTAGTTTTTGTCAGTTTTGGAGCCCAGTCCTGCTCCCAGTAAAGCCAATGGCAAAACTTCTATTGATTTCTAATAGGTGTAGGATTATGTTATTTCAATCTTATACCAGTGTAACTCCCAGCCAAACCTTGTAGGGATCCTTTGGCGTTCACAGTGACACAAAACTGCAGCGTAACAGTGGTTAATCAGGCCTAGTGTTCGTAAAGTGTTTTGGGATCTCTCGGTATGAAAAGCACTGTCATTATAATATTGTTACTAGCCTCACATGTGGTGAAGGGTGTTTCATGTATAGGAACTGATCCAAAGCCATTACAATAGATATTAGAGAGATGAAATGAGTGAGATAATCTCTCTTATTGGACCGACCTGAAAAAGAGCTCTGTGTAGCTCTAAAGCTTGTCTCACCAACAGAAGTTGGTTCAGTAAAAGATGTTACCTCACCCACCTTGTCTCTCTAATATCAGGGCATCAACACAGCTATAACAGCACTGCAAATTAAAAAGGATAGATATACCATTGATTTAAATGGGCTTTGGTTTGGGCCCATAAATAGCTAGATTTGTTAAATTTGCTACTGTATTGTGTATAGCAGGATTCTGTACTGGATGAGTTTTATATTGTCAAATTCTCTTTCTACATTAGGGAGAACTACATAAGCACTGTGCTCCTCCAAGTGAAGTTGAACTCAACTCCTACAAAGAATATGCCATCCAGATTCAGCCTGTTAAAAAGTTATCTAATGAGTCTCAGTGTGGTTGGGAGCCATTTGGTGAGTTCATTTGCATGCTAATTTTGTAATAATGATATTTATACAAGTGTTGTACCTTGTTACTTATCACAGGGATTATTCCCATGGAAAAACGGATAGGAGGGGCATGTTTTGTTTTTAATTTAACCTGGCTAATATGTTGTGAGTGTCCCAAATGAGATAAAGCTTTAAATGGCAAGTCTCTTACAAGAACTTCTTTTCCAAATAAATTATGAGTTCAGCTGCTGAAGACTAAACTATTACACCTGGTCTTAAACTTTTTGATGGAACAAATTTCAGTTAGAAAATGCAAATTTGTCAAATCTAATTGTTTCATGGGAATGTGGTGATTCCACATATGTTTGTTATGGAAATATGACATAACTGATCATTTTGGCTTTCTCATTTCATTTCATTTTGACATTTATATTTTATCAAATATATTATATTTTATATGGTCCTGATACTATTGAAACAAAACAATTCAATGCTTCCAGAATTTCCAGTCAGTGGAAAAAATCAATGTTTTCGAGTTGGAACAAAAACAAATTTTGAAATGTCAGAATTTCCCATGGAATTCTAACCAGCTCTATAAATGGATGCCATGCACATTCCAGAAATGCTGGCACCTTCAAAACAAAGAAAATATGCTCATTTAGAAAACTAAATTGTAATTAAAAGGCTATGTTTTGCTTATTTACAAGTTAATACTGTAATAATTTGAATATAATAACTGAGATTTTGAATAAGTGCTTGATATCTTGTGTTCAGCATCTGATCATAAACAGGGAATGTCAGTAGAATAGAAGATCCTAGTAACTTGATAGCTCACTAGCAAAGGAGAAACTGTTCAATTATTACTAACTAAGGCTGTGATCCTGCACTCTCAGCTATGTGTAGGTAGACCCCTGTGTTATCAAGTGGCCTGGTAACCCACTATACATTTGTAGCTCTGGGACTCCAGGGCATACTCCTGAGTACATACCTCTTGTCTGACACCCTTCCTTAGAAAATGGGGTGCTGCCATCTAGCCATCCTAGACCCTGAAAACCAGTGTCTCAGACCCTAGTCACCGGTCTCCCCATCCCCCGTTGCTTACACACACTCAGCGTTCCACCTAGTCCATGGGCACTCTGGGGCTCCTAGTTTAACCCTTTTGGGGACAATGTGGCAGTTAAGCAAGGAGCACAGGTTTACCAGAAGAATTTCTTTACCACAGTGACTTTACTGATAAAGCTTCACAAATGACAGTCCTGAAACACACTCTTCTCTAGTCTGTGCTCACTCCTTCTTTTGAGTCAATGGTTCATCAGCCGTTCAGGCTGAGCAGAGTTCTCCTTTAAATTCTCCTTACACTGCTCTTAAATAGGGCCTCTGCTTGTGTGCCATGTGTCACAGTTTCAGGGAAAATGTACCTGCATATTCTCCCTTTGATATTGCAACCACCTGCAGGCTAGTTGGGGACCATATTGTATGAAGTCTATGAATGGTTTATGTATCACGGTGGGCCAGGGAGTGTATGCAAAGCTCCCCAGAGGGTGGCACTTCTCTGGATGTGTTTACAGCCTGAGTGATTTGCCTCCATCACCCTTCTACTTCTTTTCATTCCTGGAGGAGCCGGTGGAGTAGCCTGCAATCCCTAGTCTAATCTGATGTAAAAACCATTCATAAAATTACTACAGTATAGTCCCTAACTATACTGGATGCGGTTGCAACATCTGTCACACCACGTGCTCAAACTGAGGCCTGGTCTACACTAGAGAATTAGATTGACCCAGCTACATCGCTCAGGGATGTGAAAAATCTGTACCTCTGAGTGACATAGTTAAGCTGGCCTACGTCCCCATGTAGATAGCACTAGGCCAATGGAAGAATTCTTTTGCTGACCTAGCTACCATCTCTCAGGGAGGTGGATTTACTACAGTGATGGGAGAATCCCTTCAATCGCTGAAGTAAGTTTCTGCACAGAAGAGCTAGAGCAGCACAGCTGCAGTAGTGTTGTAAATGCAGACCTAACCTGAGAATCTCCAGATCCACCAGGCATACTTCCCAACCACCCACGGCCGTCCCCTGTGTAGAAAGACCATTGTTCCATGGGATGGTCCAGCAGTTGAGAATCATTCAAAATTGATAGCCCTGGATTGCTGTCTGTGTGATGGTCCTTCAGTGAAATGTCAAACACCTTTCCAGGGCTGGGTAGCTGTTGGGAATGTAGTAAAAAGTCTGTCCCTGGACAGAGTGCAGACTAGTGTTCAACACATGGTACAAACCAGAATTCATAATGAGATACAGACACATCTTACTCTGTCATGCTCTGTGCCTGGGTGAAGCTCCATTAAAGGGCTCTGTGTGGGTGTAGGGTCTGCACACATGGAGTTCAGTGCATGATTGGGGCCTAAAAGGGTATATGTGTAACATTCTGATAGACTAGGTCCTGAGGGGATAAAAACACCTTAAACTTTTCTCCTTTCAGAAGCCACTGATTGAAAGTTACTGTTGAGTACAGTGTTATATTCAACAGGTTTCTAAAAATAATTAATTTAAAAGCTGAAAATTGCAGGAAATTACGTGGTATTGAACACCATTGTTTTCATGACCTTTTTAGCTTGTGTTTCTTTATGAAGTCAGTCTGTCGCCAGGACTAATTTGAGGCCCAAGTAGTAGTGTTCAAAATGGGGATGGACAGGTGGTAACTCTGACAAGTCCTGATTTTTCAAATGGCTGCCTCCTCTTGTGCATGATCATCTGTGACCCCATTTAGAAAAATCTGTGCATGTGCCTAACTTTAAACATATGAATAGTTCTGTTGAAATTGGTGGAGCTATTCAAATGCTTGAAGTTTGACATGCGTTTTAGTCCCTGGCTGAACTGGGCCTGTGTGCAGTTCATAGATTTTGTGCATAAATCCAACACCTGTTTTTTAGCTGAACATTTTCAATCGATAGTCATTCTCCCATCACTGGTCGAGCAACAATGGACATTTTAATTACCATGTCATCTAACCTTACTCCTTTTCATCCAATATGTCAAAATAATGGCCCTGATCCTGAGATTTGTATCTGCATAGATGGCCTCTTGGCATGCAGAGAGCCCCATTGGCTCTAGTGGGCTAATAAGAATGGCCATACTGGGTCAAACCGATGGTGCAGCTAGCCCAGTAGCCTGTCTTTGGACTGGGGCAGTGCCAGGTGCTTCAGAGGGAATGAACAGAACAATTAATGAGTGATCCATCCCCTGTAATCCAGTCCCAGCTTCTGGCAGTCAGCGGTTTAGGGACATATGGGCTGCAAGGGCCCACACAAGCAGGTTTGATTACAGGATCAGAGATAACATTGTAATGGAGGGGAAAAAACTGAAGAAATATTTATTTTCTAGCATTAAAGAACAAAGCACAACATCCTTTTTAATTGTATTGTTTTTTAAAAGTAGTTAGTCTTTGCCAGATGGCTTTTTAAAATTTGCTTCCGCCATCTTTGCAGTTAGGACCTGACATATTTGAAAAGTATATTTTCCTTTTAGGGAATTTTAAATATATTTTTATAGACTTTTGTGAACTTTGTTCTCTTAGAAGCTTGAAAATACAGTATATTTTGCTAATAAATTTGTGGTTTCCATTTCCAAATGTTGTTTTTATATGAATTGGGTAAGAGGAGATTAAGAATGCTTCGAACAATGTTTTTCTAATATGTAATAGATGAAAACAGAAAATACAGTATTCTTTGGTTAAGTAGAATGCAAAGTGTCAAGAAACTGGCATTCTTTTTTTTTCTGCTAGAAATTTCACTTAGAACTAAAAATGCCTATAGTGTTTTTTTTTTAAAGATTTCCAAGACCTGTACATGAAATATATAATAAAGGTTTGAAAGCTATTGATAAACTTATTCCACTGATTTGTTTTGAAAATGTTTTCTTAGACAAGAACAATTACAAACAATTACTGGGAGCCCTGGATTACTCATTTCTGTGTGCTTATGCAGTTGGAATGTATTTGAGGTAATTCCTTTAGACTTTTTTCATACTTCTTAAATTATTGATTCAGAAGGCTGCACTGCTTCTAATCTGTTAGTCTTAAAGGTGCCACAGGACCCTCTGTTGCTTTTTACAGATTCAGACTAACACGGCTACCCCTCTGATACTTCTAATCTGTTATCCTTTCCTTTTGGGAAGCTTCTGATGAATGATCACTGAAGAAGGAAGGAGAAATTTGGATTGTCTCACACACACAAAGACCTGATTTTAGGGCTTGTCTACACTACCGCGCGGGGTCGATCTAAGATACGCAACTTACTTAAATCTACTTACCGCTGTGTCTTCACTGCTGTAAGTCGACAGCTGACACTCTCCCGTCGACTCTGCTTGTACTTCTCATTCTGGTGGAGTACCAGAGTCGACGGGAGAGCGCTCACCGGTCGATTTATCGTGACACGATAAATCGACCCCCGTTGGATTGATTACTGCCTGCCGATCTGGCAGGTAGTGTAGACAAGCCTTTAGGCACATTTTTCACAGTGACTATCCTGAAACCCTTACAGAAATTCATAGGAAGGTTAATCCTTCCTATGAATTTCTGTACTCCCTTGAACTGAAATGTATCACAGATGACAATCTAGCCCATATACATCAATGAGTATGTCTAAATAGCAGCTGCGTAGTTTAATTCCCAGATCTGGTAGACATACACACTGAGACTATCATGATTAAAAACAGCAGTGTGGCTGTGGTGGTATGGGTGATGGCATATGTTAGCCACCTGAGTACATACTAGGATCTTGGATAGGATTGTATTCAGGCAGCAAGCCCAAGACACAGCCTGCACTGCCACATCTGTGCTTCTATTTTTAGTGCACTAGCTCAAGCAGGGCTAGCACATGTATATCTGCATGAGCTGGGAATTACACCCCCCCACTGCTGTGTAGATACACTCAACGTGAAGAATCACGTGGAAAGTAATTCCCATTATGCCCACAGTAAAACCATTCAATTCTCACAATATCAGCATTTGTTATGTAATGCACCAAATATTTATTACTTAATTGCTTGATTTTTAGTTAAAATTTCTGTTGAAACTTGCAGGGAAAACCCTAATAGATCCAGAATTTGAACATCCTCTTTATGCGCTATGAAAGTTTGGTGTGTGAAATGTTTCATGTTTCTTTTAAATGTTTTTTTCTTTACCCCTGTACATTCTCAGTGGTATAATAGGAGAGCGTCTGCCTATCCGGTATTATCTAACAGCTGGAATGCTTGCCAGTGGACTCTTCACTGCAATGTTTGGGTTGGGCTATTTCTATAATATACATAACCTGTGGTTCTACATGATAGCTCAGGTAAGCATACTGTTGTTTGTTTCCCTAGATTCGTTGGCTTTCCATATTTATTTATTTTATTTTCAGATGTGAGTAGCATTTAATGGTTACATGGCGAGATGCATTCCATTCTGGTTTGAATGTAATTCAGTTTTGTAAGAGATTACTTGCCATAGTGTCTCAAGAAATACATAGTTTTAAAAATAAAGATATGTTTTAAATGAAATAGTTTTTTTTTTAAATGAACTGTTTAAAATCCCAGATAATTCACGTGTGTAAACCTAAACGTGAGAAATAATATACCTTTGAGAACAAATACATTTACTTTTACCTGTCTGCTAAGACCTGAGTGTAGGGTGCTGTCTTTTTCTGAGCAGTTTCCTGCACTGGTGAAAAGTGTTCAAGATATTGCCAGCTGGTGCAACAAAAAGCCATGAAGTGGAATTCTCAAAAATCTTGTGGGTCTGATCCAAAGCCTGTTGAAATCTATGGAAAGACTTTGCGTTGACGTCAATGGACTTTGGATGAAGCTTTAAGTGAAAGGCAGTGGCACTTGTGCTCCTAAATCATTTAGGGTATGCCTACACTTAGAGCGGGAGATGTTTAATTCCCAGCTCAAGGAGACATACCCATGCTAGCTCTGATCAAGCTAGCATGCTAAAAATTAACTGTAACTGTGGCAGGGCGAGCTGTAAAAGAGGCTAGTTGCCCTGAAGTAGGTACCAGGCTGAGACCAAAGACACGTATTCAAGGCAGTTAGCCCCTCCTACCACTGCTACACTTAGACTACATACTTGTGGTCTCCGACACATACGTAATCGGGGTGTCTTGCTCCTCCCGCTGCCTGAGCTGCCACAGGTACTGTTTATGTTTAGCGTGCTAGCAGAGGCGTAGCGAGCCCCCTCCGTACCCTCTGACCGGAGGGGGCCCCGCAAGGAAGGGGGTCCCTAAAAATGGCAAAAAAAATGTAAGGTATAACTAGGTAAGTGACATTTATTGACGCTATTGCACAATCCATGTCGGTTTTACTGACAAAACCGTGAAGTTATTATGATATATCATAATGCTATTGGCTACATAAGTTGTCTGTCAGTCAGTTTCGAATTTTAGTTGGACCCATTCAAAGAATGTGTATTTGCGTTCATAATGGCCGTCGGCAGATAAATGTTATTAATTTAGTTGTTTAATTTTTTATCGTTTGAAACTATTCGTTTCCAACGCAGAAGCGTGCTTTGTGATGTCTAAGAGAACGTATAAGAGCGAAGCTAGTAAACAAAAGGCAGCAAAAGATGCCGAGAAGGAACTTGAGAAAATTCCAAAGTTGTCAACGTATTTTGCACTGCAATCCAACGTACAGGTACAGGCACATGAAACGGACAGCACTAGCAGCGACGAATCGTATCCAGAAGTGCGTCAAGTGAGGTCGAAGGTGAAGCCAGTTGTTCTACCAAACAAACTGTGACAGATATTCCAGCTGCTGCCGGGAAAGAAGTATCTGAATCTGAACCACTGACTGATGATCCAGGAGATTGGCCGTCTATAATATCAGACAGGCAAGTGTGTGACATTGTTGCACGTGGCCCACCGCAGCAGAATGAAAGTTACGAATTTCCATTTAACGAGGAAAGACGGAGGTTCACAAGTACTCATTTCTATCGAACCATGGCAAATGGCGAGAAAATAAGACGTTCATGGTTAATGTACTCAGTTCAGAAAGATGCCATTTTTTGTTTTTGTTGTAAATTATTTGGCACTGGCGACATACCGCTACATCGTGGAACATCTGCTTGGAAAGCACTGTCAAAAACACTTCAGCAGCATGAAACAGGCAAAGGTCATCAAGACTGTATGGTGAAATGGTTTGACCTTCGGTCAGGCATAGTAAACCGTACATCTATTGACCAACTCGAATTGCAGGCTTTTCTGAAAGAAAGAGATTTCTGGAGAAATGTTGTCAAACGCATGGTTGATGTCGTTATTTTCTTGTCCGAAAGAAACTTGGCATTTCGAGGAAGTAATGAAAAGCTCGGCGATCCTTCGAATGGCAACTTTTTGGGACTGTTTGAATTGCTTGCAAAGTATGATGCTGTCCTCAGCGAACTTTTACAGAGGATTAAGAAGGCAGAGACACATGTTCAGTACCTCAGTCCACAGATCCAAAACGAGCTGATTCAACTTGTTGCCAGTAACATTCAAGAGGCCAACATAGGGCAGCTTAAAAAAGCAAAATATTATTCAGTTATTTTGGACTGTACTCCCGACGTGTCACATGAAGAACAGATGTCTGTGGTGTTACGCTTTGTTGAATTCAACGGTGAAGATGGGGTCAATATTCGTGAAGCGTTTGTTGGTTTTCTTAATGTTCATGATACAACTGGCGAGGGCTTATTGGAAGCGTTTCTTGAAAAGGCAAACAACTTAGGAATAGACATTGCTGACATGAGAGGCCAAGCTTATGATAACGGCGCAAATATGAGAGGAAAGAATAAAGGAGTTCAAGCCCGCA